CAAGGTTGATGAAGATCTAGTGAACAGTTCAGGCAAATTTCTACTCTTGGATCGCATGCTGCCAGAGCTGAAAAAGCGAGGACACAAGGTATTCTTTTTGATGCTCTCAGAAATTGCTTAAAACATTTCAGATAAGATTACTGATAACATTTGCTCTATGCAGGTGCTGCTATTCTCACAAATGACACAGATGTTGGATATTTTGATGGACTACTGCTATCTGAGGAATTACCAGTTCAGTCGCTTGGATGGAAGCATGTCCTATACAGAGAGAGATGAAAATGTATGTGACTCTTTTCTTTGAGGCTTAAGCTTGCCTTGCATGGTTCTTCTGAGATTCTTCATCTACTACAGTGAAAGACTGGGATAGGAAAAGGAACATAGCTACAGATACCAAGAGAAGCCTAACAAGAGAGGCATGGCAGCAAAATGACTTAGGCTGAGCTATTAATCAGGAAATCACTCGCTCAGATCTCCCCTCTGTATCCCCTCTTTCCCCTATCCATACAATAGGGTTATTTTATTATTATTTATTTTGGACATTTATATGCCACCCTTCTCACCCCCAAAGAGGGACTCCGAGCAGTTTACAGTAGGCACTCATTAGATGCCACACAAACAATAGCAATAAAATTACAATTAAAACATTCATTTAAAATCTTACAAATTCAACACACATTTTGATTCCTCAGTGGTTAGTCCGGTTTCTGGTACATTTCACCTACTGATTCCAAAAAATGTTTTCCTCTATGAGATCTAGCTTTTGAGATACATAACATATGCTATCTAACACTTGCCATCTGCTCCCCGATAGAATACCATGATAACCATGTCTAAAAAACTAGAGCTGATGTGGTTTATCCGATGCAGTTTTCTCAATCAGTGCCCCAAGTTACCCCAGGAAGAGGCCTAAAACCAAAACTTTTAGAATAGGTTTCGGTGTCATATAATAACATGTAAAATACAGTGCATTGCTATTCATTATTGTGTACTGTATTGATAGATGGTACCTTAAGATTTATTGATCCACAATAAATCTTAAGGTACTGCTGGATACTGAGTGAATGAGTATTTCTAAGACATAGCATTAGAAAATGCAGACTCAAGCAACACCACCGGGTACATAAGCTAGTTATTAATAAATGGTTTTCTAGAGTAAGTCACTCTTGGCTTTGAGTCGCACTCTCAGCCTCAGAGAAGGATGCAGAGAATTCAATTTGAAATATTTTTTACATTGTTGCCTTAAGCAAGTCACACTCTTTTGACCTTGAGTCACATTCTCTGAGCCTCTGGAAGTTTTGTCATCACTTACCTTTTTAAAATTTATTTTAACACATTGATTGCTTTCTGGACTGGTGAAGAAGTGGCCTTTCAGGGCTTATGGTCTTTACCTTTTAGTCTTCTACTAATTTTGGGTGTGGGGAGAACTATGATTGGAATTAGTTTTAATTATTAATCCCAGGAGAGAGGATACAGACAGATCCTCCACTGCTTTTACATAAGGAGGCAATGGAGAAGGATAAACTAGAAGACAGTGGCAGAGTTCCTGAGGAGGAAACCGATGTTAATCTGTTGCCATTAAAACAAAGATCAGTGGCATCTTCTTTTTTTAATTGTGATACCTTTCAGATCTTTTGGATTACAAACACCATTTGTCATACTTGCTGGAACTGATGAAAGTTGAAGTCCAAAAATTCTTGAAACCACAAGTTCTGTGCTTCTATGATGCTTAACAGAGTAGTCAGTAAATACAACTGATTATCTGGTAGAATACATCCTTTGAAATGCAATGGCAATATCAATTAAGTGACAATTACATTTTCTATTATAGATCATCCTTTTATTCTACATGTCTTCTGTATTTTTACAGATGAGTAAATTTAACAAAGATCCAGAAGTTTTTATATTTCTTCTGAGCANTCTGAGCACGCGGGCTGGAGGTCTTGGCATTAATCTGACGGCAGCAGATACAGTAATCATTTATGACAGTGACTGGGTAGGTTTTACGTATTAAGATGCTTAAAATGATGTGTGTTCTGATCCTATGTGCTAAGCTCAACATGCAAAATGCTTCATTCTTCAATATTCCCTAGCAGTGCTCAATAACTCATTCCTGAAATCTGATAACGATTTCTTCAAGCATGATGACCTATATGAACAAAAAAAATTGCAGTCATATATTTCCCCCCTATCTGAAATGGTCCCAGTTTATAGGAATAGTTACTGTTTTTCCACTAAATAAATATGTTTTGTATACCCCTATCCTGACTTGGAATGAGTTATAGCACTATATTCTAAGATTTCCTTTTCTGTGGATTTCTCTTCGGGCCTTGATGCAAAGGGTTCTCTGAGCTGCACGAACCCTTTGCTCTAAATTACTCAACATCGAGAAGGGAATTAGTAGCTTTCTCGGTAATACAGGTTGGGCATCCCTTTTCTAGAACTCCAAAATACTCAAAAATCTAAAATTGTTGACATAAGTGTCTGAGAGAGTGACACTTTTGCTTTCT